TTCTGCAACCATGAGAGCCATATCAGGATGGACTGTCCCCTGTTTTGGGAGGCAGTGAAGAATCATGGTCACCCGAAACTTAAATTGCGATTGGCAGCGGTGCAGAACACAAGGAACAGACAAGCCGAAAATGACTTGCAGAGCAAAAAGGCAGCAAATGGTGAGTTACCTACGAAGACAATAAAGGCCTTAGCACAAGTCAAAGATGCCGTGGGGGCCGAGATAAGGAGTCCATTAGTGATAAATTATGAGAAAGCAGCTGCAGAGGCTATCAACAGAGTGAAGCAAGACTTGGCGACCAAAGAGATCGAGCAACGGTTAAAACATAATATAGAGAGACAAAAGATGATTGAGACACTCATGACGACGAGGCCAGAAACAGAGACCGGAGAAAACTTGGTGAACAGGGGTAATTGCAATACCTTGAAGATGGTGACCGGTAAACCATTTGGCATCACGAAGATTGGAGCGAGAATCATGTCAATAATCACAGTGGGCGGTCATGAAGTAACGAGAAACCTGAAGGAAAGGAAGTACGCAATAAAACCAGTAATTTTGATAATGGTGAAAGAAAATAAGGCTCCAGTTTTCTTGAGTGGGAGGGTAGGGCTGAAAGCGAATGAGTCGGAAATAGTAAATTTGCGGATGAAAAACTATGATGAACTAAGCGACAAAAAACAAGTATGTATAGTACCGAACCCAAACAGTCAAAGTGTTGCTACTTTAGGAAGATCCTTCTTGATAACCAAGAGTGGCCTCTGCGTCAGTGTCTTGATGAATACTCTTGACATACCAATCACAATCCAGAGGGGAAGGAAGCTGTGATACGCACTGCCCGTGAAAACTAGATATGAAATGATTGAAAATGTGAAAGAAAATGAAGTTCTTGATTGCCCGAATCATAGGGATAAAATTTGTATCTTGAGAAGATTGAAGAAAATAAAATGTTCATCAGGTCCTGTGAAGTCACTTAGGTCAGAGACAGACGTTGGACCTTCGAGCTGTTCGATTTTTCCAGAAAGACCCACACTTGAGAAATTGGAAATGGATAAACCAGTATTATCAGAAATTGAACACTCCAGGGGAAAAGTAACAGACGAACAGCTCGAAGCCATCAAGGATGTTCTAGATAGGAGTCGCGATGTTTTTTGAGACATAAGGCAAACATTGGGTGCTGCAACTTCGTTGAACAAGAAATAGAGGTAGAAGAGTCGGCGGTACCCCACAGGGAGAGGGCGAGGCGTATGACCCCATACAAATCGGATGCATGTAGAAAAATGCTAGAGACCCTACTAGAATATGAGATGATAGAACGATCCAATTCACCATGGGCGTGTGGAGTAGTGATGGCTAAAAAGAAAGGAGGCCACCTTAGGTTCTGTTGTGGCTTTCGATATCTGAACTCCGTCACGGTGAAGGATGTCTGTCCCATACCTAGGGATAGATGAGAGTCTTTCAAAATTAGGCGATGCCAAATTTTTTAAAACTCATGATTTAGGTTCGGCTTTTTGGCAGGTACCACTGATGAAACTGGATAGGGACAAGTCTAGTTTTGCATGCGAGCTGGTATTGTTTCAATGGAAAAGGATGCCCTTTGTCATTTGCAATGCGACGGCCACCTGCCAACGACTTTTTGCACTCTGCGAAGAAATTTGGCACTCTGGTAATGTGCAACCTAGATGACGTGGTGATTGCAACACCTACCCTGGAGTAAAAGAGAAAGGAGACCTGGAAGAAAATAGTTATAAGATCTTGAGCCAGTTCTACAAGGAGAGAAAGGAATTACTCTATCACTCAGCTGATGGTGTGGTAGCCTGTCGGAGAAAAGACGAAGAAAAAATTCTACACAAGCATAACCTCTTCATACTACCTCAGCTATACCAAACGGAAGTATTGTTCAGATCGCATGACCAAATAGGACTTCATGAGAAAGACAAAGTACAAAAAAGAATACTACACAGATTTGATTGGCCAGGGCTGAGGAATGCTTGTGAAAGGTGGGTGAATGCATGTCTGTCGTGCTTGCAAGTGAAGGATTCTAGAAAAGTGAAGTTACCTCTTAAGTCTGTGGAAAGCTCGGAGTTTAACGAGGTCGTACAAATAGACCTTCAGAAGATCTGCATGACTGACTCGTGATATAACCAGATACTAGTAATTATAGATCATTTCACGAAACTGGCCGAAGTGGTACCATGTCAGACGGCATCGGTGGAAGAAACTTGTGATCACTTAATAACGCACTGGATATCACGATATGGTTGTCCGATGACATTCCAGTCAGACAATGGGAAGGCATTCGTTGGGATCTGACAATTGAACTAATGAGAAGATCCCACATTGCACAGGTCCATTCAACGGCCTACCATCCACAAACGATTGGATTAGTGGAGAGACAGAACCAAACACTAGTGAATATGCCCCGGGTGTATTGCTCGAGATATATGACTGACTGGGACAAATATCTGCCGCAGGTGGTGGGGGCGTATAACAGCAAGCAACACTCAACAACGGGGATCAGTCCTTTCATGACGTTGACAGGTAGAGAGAGAGCGATGCCCCTGGCCTTCTTCTATCCGAAGTATGAGGTAAAGAAGACGTCGCCTGAAGCATATGTGAAGGAAGCAGTCAGGAGACAACAGGAGCTGAACGAGCTGTGCAGAAGGAAAACAGCACAGGCGCAGATGACACAGCGGAAGAATTGCGATGAGAAAATACTTCAAGCGAAGCCGTATGCTGTGACAATACGTCTGGGTGTTCCAGAACGTCTTATCTCCTAATGGGGCAAAGAAGCTATTGAAGAAATGGAGAGGGCCGTTCATGATAATGGGAGTGCACCAACAGGGACGTTTCTATCGCTTGAGTACAGGGCGTGCGGCGCACTACAAGAATCTGAAACTTCACGTCCCATCACCAGAAGACTGGTGCATACCACAAAACATGGAAGGACTCGAGTATCTACTGGTAGAGCCAGCATATGAGGTAAAAGAGAAAGGCACCAGAGAGAAGAATGATGGCAACGAGAACGTGAGCATGGATAACAACGAAAAGATTGAGGTAGATTTGAACGAAGAGACCTTCGCCGAGGGGTTTTGGAATGATCGCGAGCAAAACGAGGTACCAAAATGGACGGAACCAGACTTACAAAAAGAGAACAGAAGAGGTGCGCGTAAAAAAACAGGCATGAGATACAACAGGTATGGTGATGACTTCCTGATCGACAAGATACAGCCTGACGAGATAGGAGAAGAGTTGGTGAACGTTGGTGAGCTAGTAGCCAATGAGGAATGGCATATCATAAACGACATTGAGCACTCATTGCAAGAAGATCACACAATGCCAGAGAGAGAATTGGGTCTAGAACAAAGCGAGATTAAAAGAAGGTAAAATACAAACCTGAGGATATTGGAATGGAAGCACAACATGGAACAGGACGAGAAGGAAGCACAAAGCATTCAACAAGTTGACGTATCTGCGAAGAAACATGTGAAATTAGATAAGCCGTTATTCAGTTGGACAGCCACTGACCGCCCACTGGAAATACCACAGGATAACTTGAGCCACGTACCGGGACGTTGACTCCGGGGAGTGGGGGTAGGACTTACCGACACTGAAAAATTAATGATAAAGAAGCTCAGGGAAGTGAGAGAGACCAACGGCCTGGAGCTGGACCGAAAGGGGGCTGAGCCTACCATTGGAAGAAATTTCAGGACGAAATTTGAAATTCCTACTGAGTTTTTGAATAACATCCTGATCACAGACAGTGACGACCTCCTGTCAGACAAGACTAGCGCGATCTGCATAACAGCGGACATGAGCTTCAATACCAGACTGGAAGCCGACTTCAAAAAAGAATACCAGAATGTGGAGTTTCTGTTCAGGCAGAGACCAGGGTTGGGGGGAATGGCAGCACTCCCTCCCTCAGTTTCACAAGTTCCCGGTAAAAACCTGTGCTTTTTGGTAACGAGAGTCAGTGAGAGAAATATGATAGACCCCGAACAAGTGGCCTCTGCGTCAGTGTCTTGATGAATACTCTTGACAGACCAATCACAATCCAGAGGGGGAGGAAGCTGTGATACGCACTGCCCGTGAAAACTAGATATGAAATGATTGAAAATGTGAAAGAAAATGAAGTTCTTGAGTGCCCAAATCATAGGGATAAAATTTGTATCTTGAGACGGTTGAAGAAAAAAAAATAATGTTTATCAGGTCTTGTGAAGTCACTTAGGTCAGAGACAGACGATGGACCTTCGAGCTGTTCGATTTTTCCAGAAAGACCCACACTAGAGGATTTGGAAATGTATAAACCAGTATTACCAGAAATTGAACACTCCAGGGGAAAAGTAACAGACGAACAGCTCGAAGCCATCAAGGATGTTCTAGATGGGAATCAGGATGTTTTTTCGAGACATAAGGCAGACATTGGATGCTGCAACTTCGTTGAACATGAAATAGAGGTAGAAGAGGTCGGCGGTACCCCACAGGGAGAGGGCGAAGCGTATGACCCCATACAAATCGGATGCATGTAGAAAAAAGATAGAGACTCTACTAGAGTATGACATGATAGAACCATCCAAATCACCGTGGGCGTGTGGAGTAGTGATGGCTAAATAGAAAGGAGACCACCTTAGGCTTTGTTGTGGCGTTCGATATCTGAACTCCGTCACGGTGAAGGATGCCTATACCATACCTAAGATAGATGAGAGTCTTTCAAAATTAGTCGATGCCAAATTTTTTACAACTCTTGATCTAGAATCGACTTTTTGGCAGGTACCACTGAGGAAACTGGATAGGGACAAGACTGGTTTTGCATGCGAGCTGGTATTGTTTCAATGGAAAAGGATGCCCTTTGTCATTTGCAATGCGACAGCGACCTTCCAACGACTGATGGCACAGGCGCTGACAAGCGTAACGAAGAAATACGGCACTCTGGTAATGTGCAACGTACATGACGTGGTGATTGCAACACCTACCCTGGAGGACCACATGAGGTATTCGCTTGCATGAAGAGAGCAGGACTGAAATGCAAGCCATCGAAGTGTGAGATTCTCAAGGACTCGATTAAATACCTGGGGAGAATGGTGGACAAACATGGCATTAGACTTAGACCAGATCCAGACGCGGTAGAGGCAGTGTTGACTTGGAAATCACCGAAAACAGAACACCAGTTGATGAGCTTCTTGGGTTTCGCAAACTACTACAGGGAGTTCATCAAGGGCTATGCGGATAAAGTATATCCAATACAACAACTCTTGAGGCACAAGGGAAAGAAATTCACGTGGAACAACGCGGCTGAAGTGTCATTTCAGAGAATAGAGAAAGAACTTTGTGAAGCACCTGTGCTAGGCATGCCGACAGAGAATAGAGAAAGAAATGCGTGAAGCACCTGTGCTAGGCATGCCGAAAGGGATGTACGTGCTGAAAACTGATGCATTGGTAGTAGCGATCTCGGGCATACTCCGTCGAGAACAGAAATGGAACGGAAAAACAGTGTTGAGACCAATCACCTACGGGAGCAAAGTCTTGAGTGATACGGAAAAGAAGTACGGAGCACCCAAAGCGGAGATGTTTGCGGTCGTCACTTTTGTCGAACAATACAGGACATACTTGGGTAGCGAACCATTCAAGCTGCGGGTCGACAACAGAGCACTCAGCTGGTTGAAAACGTACTCAATGGACCAGAATTACATCGGGAGATGGATAGCGCGGGTGGATGATTACAATATGATCATTGATCACAGAACGAGAGATAAGCGCCAAAATGCTGACAGCTTGAGCAGGAAGACGGAATTCTACGAGAGCCAAGAGAAAAGGAAGGCTGATAGACCGGAGATCGAAGATGGGTTTTCTTTTAGGGACAAGGAATTACATGACACCCTACCACCCACAAGATGGCTAGACAAGTCAAGAAAACCGATAGAGGACCATCCCGATTTACCAACTGAACTTGAGGCGAAAGAAATTCTGAAACGAAGTTTAGGGATGCCAATGGAAATAATGCTCAAGTCCAAGATAGTGGGGGAAACACTGAAGGCAAAAGGCTACGACTTCGACAAAGAGGAAACAGGAAAGGTAACGGTAGGAGAGGAACTAAGGAAACTACTCGAGAGACTAGCAGATGACAAACTTGTGATCCCAGAAGGTGGTAAAGACAGACCGGAAGTCAATATCTTGAAAAGAGGGGAACTGAAACATGACGGAGACTTGATGAAGAGCAAAGAGGTTGTGCGGGCACTAGTTGAGAGAATCCCGGAGGAATTACTCAGGCGGACGACGATACGAAATAAGAGAGTGACGTTCAAGGAGGAAGTTGAACATCTGGGACCAGATCAAGAGTCTGTGGAGTGGCCGCCACGAGGGAGAGATGGCGAGAAAGAAAAAATGTCCGGGGAGTCGGAAGAATGAGATGATGTTTCGGAGGAGAGTGCCGATGAGCAAGACAGTCTCTGCACAAAACTGCCTGAAGAAAAAATGAGGTACCACGACAGGAAGTTGCAAACAGATCCGTCGTCAGGGAAGTACAACCTGGATCATGATGACGCGTATGGACGGAAAGAACTTGAAAAGATAGCAGTGCGAAGGAAACCATTCAGAGAGCTATCTTGCAATTCGAACATCAGAACGAATCTAATACCAGAGGACGACAGAAAGATTTTGAGAAAGATAGTTTGTGTGCAGCTCAAAGACGGCATCCACAATCCTGGAGAGCTGAACGGTCAAATGATGGCATTGGAGGAGCACGTCAAGGCGAGGTTCAGGCTGTCAGATCTGATACGAGCACAGAAGAAAGATATAAGGACGAGTAACCTCTCGAAATGGATTCGGACGGCAGTAAAAGAGAAAGGAGACCTGGAAGAAAATAGTTATAAGATCTTGAGCCAGTTCTACAAGGAGAGAAAGGAATTACTCTATCACTCAGCTGATGGTGTGGTAGCCTGTCGGAGAAAAGACGAAGAAAAAATTCTACACAAGCATAACCTCTTCATACTACCTCAGCTATACCAAACAGAAGTATTGTTCAGATCGCATGACCAAATAGGACTTCATGAGAAGGACAAAGTACAAAAAATAATACTACACAGATTTGATTGGCCAGGGCTGAGGAATACTTGTGAAAGGTGGGTGAATGCATGTCTGTCGTGCTTGCAAGTGAAGGATTCTAGAAAAGTGAAGTTACCTCTTAAGTCTGTGGAAAGCTCGGAGTTTAACGAGGTCGTACAAATAGACCTTCAGAAGATCTGCATGACTGACTCGTGATATAACCAGATACTAGTAATTATAGATCATTTCACGAAACTTGCCGAAGTAGTACCATGTCAGACGGCATCGGTGGAAGAAATTTGTGATCATTTAATAACGCACTGGATATCACGATATGGTTGTCCGATGACATTCCAGTCGGTCAATGGGAAGGCATTCGTTGGGATTGGACAAAAGAACTAATGAGAAGATCTCACATTGCACAGGTACATTCAACGACAAAACAGAACGCTAGTGAATATGCTCCGGGTGTATTGCTCGAGATATATGACTGACTGGGACAAATATCTGCCGCAGGTGGTGTGGGCGTTTAACAGCAAGCAACACTCATCAACGGTGATCAGTCCTTTCATTACGTTGACAGGTAGAGAGAGAGAGCGATGCCCCTGGCCTTCTTCAATCCGAAGTATGAGGTAAAGAAGACGTCGCCTCAAGCATATGTGAAGGAAACAGACAGGAGACAACAGGAGCTGAACGAGCTGTGCAGAAGGAACACAGCGCATGCGCAGATGAGACAGCGGAAGAAGTACGATGACAAAATACTTCAAGCGAAGCCGTATGCTGTAGGACAATACGTCTGGGTGTTCCAGAACGTCATACCTCCTAATGGGGCAAAGAAGCTATTGAAGAAATGGAGAGGGCCGTTCATGATAATGGGAGTGCACTAACAAGGACGTTTCTATCGCTTGAGTACAGGGCGTGCGGCGCACTATGAGAATCTGAAACCTCACGTCCCATCACCAGAAGACTGGTGCGTAACCACAAAACATGGAAGGACTCGAGTATCTACTGGTAGAGCCAGCATGTGAGGTAAACGAGAAAGGCACCAGAGAAAAGAATGATGGCAACGAGAACGTGAGCATGGATAACAACGAAAAGATAGAGGTAGATTCGGACGAAGTGTCCTTGGCCAAGGAGGATTGGAATGATCGATAACAAAACGAGGTACCAAAATGGACGGAACCAGACTTACAAAAAGAGAACACAAGAGGTGCGCGTAAGAAAACAGGCATGAGATACAACAGGTATGGTGATGACTTCCTGATCGACAAGATACAGCCTGACGAGATAGGAGAAAAATTCGTGAACGTGGGTGAGCTAGTAGCCAATGAGAAGTGGCAGATCATAAACGACATTGAGCACTCATTGCAAGAAGATCACGCAATGCCAGAGAGAGAATTAGACCTAGAACAAAGCGAGATTGAAAGAAGGGAAAATACAAACCTGAGGATATTGGAATGGAAGCACAACCTGGAACAGGACGAGAAGGAAGCACAAAGCATTCAACAAATTGACGTATCTGCGAAGAAACATGTGAAATCAGATAAGCCGTTATTCAGTTGGACAGCCACTGACCGCCCACTGGAAATACCACAGGATAACTTGAGCCACGTACCATTGACGGGGACGTCGAATCCGGGGAGTGGGGGTAGGACTTACCGACACTGAAAAATTAATGATAAAGAAGCTCAGGGAAGTGAGAGAGACCAACGGCCTGGAGCTGGACCGAAAGGGGGCTGAGCCTACCATTGGAAGAAATTTCAAGACGAAGTTTGAATTTCCTAATGAGTATTCGGATAACATCCTGATCACAGACAGTGACGACCTCCTGTCAGATAAGACTAGCGCGATCTGCATAACAGCGGACATGAGCTTCAATACCAGACCGGAAGCCGACTTCAAAAAAGAATACCAGAATGTGGAATTTCTGTCCAGGCAGAGACCAGGGTTGGGGTGAATGGCAGCACTCCCTCCCTCAGTTTCACAAGTTCCCGGTAAAAACCTGTGCTTTTTGGTATCGAGAGTCAGTGAGAGAAATATGAGAGACCCCGAACATGTGGTAATAGCACTAACGAGGTTGAGAGATTTTCTGGTCAAAGAAGCATACGCGAGGTTTCAATACCGGTCTACGATCCGAACAGATGGAGATTGAACCCTAAGGAACTTTCCGCTATCCTACACGTGGTCTTTGCGGAAATGAAAATAATGGTACACATACACAAGAAGTATTACTTGAGTGTCGCCTGAGCTTGGGGTGAATGTGAGGGTCTTGAGTTAGGGGAAACAAGGGTGTTGAGCTAGGTAAGAGGGGGAACACGAATCAGGCAAATGAGTTTTAATGTTATTGGATTGCTAATTGAATCTTATAAAGGATTGATGGTGCTAAAACATAAATTGAATTTGCACGTTTTTAACGTCTAAATTAAATTATTTGATTGGAGTTAATAGGATAATGTTTTTAAGGTATTGATGGGGGAGGTCTAGGTTAGACACGAGTGGGATTATCTATATTTAAAACTGAATTATATTTTCAGGCTGATTTGAAAATTGAAACGACAACTAAATCACAGTTGGTCGAACGAGAGAAAGAAAAAACATTGAACAGTTCTTCATTGATTGTGCCAGAGGAAGATATTTCTTGAGTATTAATCTCGGAGAGGTATTTCTTGAGTAATAATCTGGGAAAGGTATTTCTTGAGTTTGGTTAGGTAAGGTAGTTCTTGATTTTGGTTGTTCGTGATATTTCGTGAGATAAAGAAAAGCAGCAATGGCAGATCGATTCTGGAAATCTGTTCCAGCGGTGTTCAGGAGACCCGCAATCGACTAGTTACACAAGCGCTTGAGGGACCTCGACTACACGCAAGTGGATGAGAGGCTCGCGGTTATGCTCAATGCCATCCTGCAACTGGAAGCGCAAGGGGAGTGCAAGGAGTCAGCGACTGAAACCGTGCTGATGTTGGGTTACACCTCGGAAGGAATCGCGAATCAGGAGCAGCTTAGACAGCTATCCTGGAACGTGGACAGAGGCGTGAGAGGATTTGATCTTGCGAGGAATCCTGGCTTGAGTAACACCACTGAGTATGATGCGGGGGAATTTCCCCTTCTGACCAGTTCACCAGCAGGAGCCGAGACACAATCCACAAGCAAACCACTATCAATGTTCCGGTCACAACAAAGAGAATAGTCATATCCAGATCTCAGCAGCATGAAGAGAGAGTTGAAAGGGCCTAAAGGGAACGGGACAAGGCCAACCTGGATGGGGACCAAGCGGTTCTCGATAGGGATCAAGCCAAGCTTGATCGCGACCAGGCAATACTTGAGCGGGACAAGGCGATTCTTG